AATAATATAGACATAAATATATACATAAAGTAATACTATAGATTATCATAAAGTAATCAGTACTACCAATTAATAATGTATCATACATTCGTATTTTAGAAAGTATGATGACTATGAGGGTTTTCGTGTTCACTTACTTCACTATGGCTGAATATATTTATGAAAAGCTAAAACTGACACAGACAAAATACATTGTAAACACAGCCTATTTAGGAAGGCGCTAAACCGGTGTAAACTATTATGCAAAGATGAACAATACCGTCATTAGTATTTTTGCGCAAGTGAATAAATATATAACAAATTCCCCGATAATCACGGCCTTGCCTTTGGCGAATAATTGTTCAAAGCCAAAGGCGCAATAATAATCGCGTGTGGTGTATACTTATACGTGATAGTTTCTCAATATTTTGTATTTGCCAAGATACTTTTGTCACAATTGTTTCTATAAATCTATTATCTATGCGATAAAGAAGAAGTTCTGCAGTATAAACTGTACTATACATACTATAAATACAAATATTATAATAAAATGTAAATATTAAATAAAAAATAGTACTGAGATGATCCCGTTATCCCACAGGCTATATCTATGAAATTGCACTGGTATACCTATATAACTGATAGTATTTTTTACTTTGAATATTATATCATGCACAAATTTTCGTTCTCTGTTTAGATTTTAATTAATATAATTATACGAAAATCTTAAAAATAATATAATTTCAAAATCGAAAGTCCAAATTCCAAAGTCCATAGTCCAAAGTCCAGCCCAGTGTTTACAATATGCCAATAGCACGCTGAAGTTCGATTACCTTTTTTTATACACCCTGTAAATAAACATGACATTAACGGTTTCCTATTGGATAGATTTAATTGGATATAGTAATGTTTATGCAAAGGCGGAGCCAATTTGACAAGAGCGAAAAGTGGGCGTATTTCGTTTCTTGATGTGTTGTCGGCAGTCCCTCATTTCTTCGAGGGACTGCTCGCGGTCTAGATCGGATGCGAATGTTCTATATTACTTAAAATACAAATGCATAAAAGTAACCATGTTTACCAACTAATTTGGCAATATGGTTCGCTTTGGTCGAGAAGATCGAAGCTTTACAGTTTAAGTAAATCAGGAAAACATTTCATTTCATTTCTTCGTGAATTGGTTACGAGTATTTTAATATAGATTTAAACTGATCCTTAAAACCTAACCTACAGCTAAAAGTAGCCTCATCTGCAGAATGATATCTTCAACTCGTAATTAGAGCGTTAGACTAGCAAATTAAATCCATTCCTATACTGATTAAGAATTAAAGGTTGTCTTTTGTGGACATGGAGCTATTCGGCTAACGCACTTTTTATGCCCATGCATTGCAACACACTTCACACTTTCGAATAACTCACGTGCTTTATATACAGTAGCTAGTTACCAATAGGTTATATTTAAATTATAGATGTGGATAAATTGAATGGCAATGAGCATAAGCATGTGTAGTTATTAGTTATTAGGACTATTATAAAATTTGAAATTGTTGTATAACTGGCTGAAAAAGGACTATACGATCAGTAAGGGTATAGAAAGAAGCATTGTGGAAGCACAGTTAATAGAATACATGGTTTAGAGACTCGATGAAAGTACAATTATATAACTCATTAAAGGGAAATGGCAATATATTTTTTTATTTTCTTGTTTGAAAGAACATTTAAAACCATGTATAAAACTCTTTTACCGTTTTTTCATATCTTGCTTCCTTCTACAAATATTTTAATCGAAAGAAATAAAATGTCCGCCATCTTGGATTTTTGTAGATATGCATATAACGTCACAACAGGGGTCACGCAATATTTTTATCTAGACAACCACTAATAATTTTGAACCCAAAATTATACTCTGTATGCCCTTGGTGATATCAAGATCACCAGAGACCTTTAAAACATCTACCAATCAATATTTGGTCAGCAACGAATACGTTTATATGGTTAATCCCTGTTGTGACGTCACCAAAACTACCGTTAATGAGATCAAAAATTTATCCAAGATGGCTGACATCTCATTACTTCAAGTGAAAATATTTCAAGAACTAAGCATGATATCGAGAATCGGTAAAAGAAGTTATTAAATAGTTTCAAAAGTTCTTTCAAATGAAGAAATAAAAAAATATATTGCCATTTCCCTAAGAATTTGGGCCTATCTCGTCACGTGTGTATTGTATTTTTTCCCGCACAACCAATAGCAATATTTAAATTGAGCATTTGTTCATGTTACGGATGGATAACTCAACTTTCGTAAATTACTCGCCTCCAGAGTACGTATCTACGAAAAATCACTCGTATCGATATTTAAATAAAGTTTTAATGATATGTCTTCGCTCTATATCGGTAATCTCATAAAAAACTCTCTCTGTCAACAACAAATATTTCGCTATATAAGCACATGTAAATGCAGCCCTACTATTGGCTGAATTATAGCAGTTTACTTCCGGTCACGCGAGTGTTCGTCACAATCTCCGACACACTCCCCCATATACATTCCCAGGGGAATGTATATTATTTCACAGTTTAGCCAATAATAATTGTTTTGCAACTTTCCTACTTTAACTCAATGTAAATATAGATTAAAATCTGCGTGTTCGATTTGTTCATATGTTCATATGTCGCCTTCTTCTGCCATCTCTTGAATACGTATACGCGCTGCTTCGCCAGCTGCTCTGCTCGGTCGAGGTTCAAACTTCGGTGCTGCAGCATTCAGCTTCGTCGGTTTCTTTGAAAACTCGTCACAACTCAGTTCCATGGGATATAAATACTGCACCGGTCTTTCCAGTACCCCGTTCTTTGCCTTGAGCCGCACAGCTCTCACGACCCCGTCCTTGCCAGGAAAGGTTTCTTCGACCACAGCTAAAGGCCACACTCCCCGATTCTTGTTGTCGCTCAACACAATGACCACATCTCCAGATTTGGGACAGAACTTCGTTCTCGCATGAATCATGCTATGTCTTTCTCTCAATGCCGTTAGATATTCCCTCTTCCAACGTTTCCACAGGTTGTTCTTGCAGGCAAGAAGGTACTTGGCACGTTTCCTAAGATCATGACTTTCGATTCTCCATGTCTCTTCGATGGGTAGATGGTTTGAACGTTGGTACAGGAATGTAGATGGGGTTAGGGTTGGCAATTCCACATCGTCCTCCATGTATGATAAGGGTCGTCGGTTTATCTGTATTTCGATATCTAACATCAATTCAGCTAGTTCGTCCCACGTCAAGAATCCTCCTCCAACAACCTTGTACATCGCCGACTTTATCACTGCGATTAACCTTTCAAATTGGCCGCCCCACCACGGGGCGCGGCTGAGATTGAACTTCCATGTTATCTCGTATTCCTCAACTAGCCCACGTATTCGTTCATCCTTACGTATTTGCTTTAACCAGGCACTCGCCTTCACGAATGTTCCACCGTTATCAGAATATATTACTCGCGGGCGCCCACGGCGGGCGATGTACTTCTTCAGGCTTACGAGAAATGTGGGCGTCTCGAGGTTTTGCAGGAGCTCCAAATGAATGGCTCTTGACAGGCTGCAAGCGAATATTGCCAAATATGCCTTTCCTTCTGTTTTCGCCGTTTTCTTGTATTTCACTGGTCCCGCGAAATCTATAATGACAACTTCAAAGGCAGTTCCTGGATTAGTTCTGTCCTTTGGTAGAAGTCCCGGAACTGGTACGGTTGCTGCTCTCACACGGAATCTCTTACAACCCCAGTAATCACCGCGTACTTTCTTAACTAAACATCTAAGTCGAAGGACCCAATAACACTCTCTCACCGCGGCCATGGTAATCCCCACTCTCCCGTGGAGCGTTTCACAGTGTACGCTCTGAATTAGCTTCTTTGTAAATACTGCATCATGCGGAATGTAAATAGGATAACTTCCCTGGATTCTCCCTTTGCATACCATGATGTCACGTTCAGTTCGTTCGAGGCCTAAACGAGCGCTGGTTTCCGGGTAATGGGTTTGCAAGCTGTCCCGCAACTGTACTCACTTGATCCACCATTCCTTTGCAACTTCAACTTCTTCTGTAGCCAAGGGTCCGACTCTCTTATCTTGATATCTACAGTTGTGGATGAATCAGTTCATCCAGGCACAAATCCGCAGAGTTCTACGAAAGCTGGTTCGTCCCAGGATATCGTCAAATTCGTCAGATGCTGGTTCTGATTTGGACACACAATCAACTTCACGAATCACCTTCGCTTCTGTTTCCGCCTCAGGCGACGTCTGTAGCACTGGGTTATCTGGTCATTGAGAAGGATCTTGGAGCCATTCTGGTCCAGTTCACCATAGCTCTGAAGATGAGACTGTTCCCCCACGACTTGCTATGTCAGCAGGATTATCGTATGTGGGCACATACCGCCAATGGACTTCCGGGTGTGCTTGTATTTTGGCCACACGATTGGCTACGAATTGTTTATACATTCCATTTCCACATATCCAATGTAGCGCAACCATGCTGTCGATCCATGCGTGAATAGATGGCACTGGAACATTCGGAAGGGCGTTACGAACATTTACTGCCAGGTTGGTGGCCATGTGTGCACCAACCAACTCTAACCTTGGTACAGTCAAGCTTCGCTTCGCTAATCTGCTCTTAGCCGTCACTAGTTGTTGAGTTGTCCCCGATGGTTGTCTGACAACAGCGTATACTGCAGCCCAAACACCTTGAATGGATGCGTCACCAAAGGTGTGCAGTTCGATTTCTGTAACTTCTTGGTGATTCACGATTGATCTCG